GGCAGCTCTGGACCTAGCTAATAGGTGCAAAGGTAACTCTGAAAACTGGGTGCCAAGAAAGCACATGACAGGTGTAATGTCGATGTACTTTGGTAAGCATACATGAAAATTATGGTGTCTAAATTAGCTGTTATATTGAGAAAGATTTTGCAGGGATTATAGATAGTTCTCTAAAAAACATCCACTCAGTATGCAGCAGCAGTAAAAAAAAAAAAAAAAACTGTAAGAACCATTCAGAAAGGAATAGACAATAAGACAGAATATATGATAACTAGCCAATTATCCCATCATAAGACGGGATTTTCAGGTCTCTCCTCCACGTTGGTCTTCTCTCCTGAGCCCCGGTCTCTCTCTCTCTCTCTCCTCCAACTGCCTTCCCCCGTCTCTCTCAGCTCTCCTCCACCTTCTGCCTCTCTGTCTTTCTCTTTCTCTTCTCCCCCGCCTGTCTCTCACTCTCTCTCCGCTCTCCTCTGTCTCTTTCGGGGATGCACGCTCATCCAGGCCCCACCCCGTGGGCGTGTACGTCACCGCCCCGCCCCCTTCACCTCCCACCGTGGCGCTCAGATAACTTCTGCGCCACTCAGCTGGGCCACCACGTGGGAGCAAGCGGCTGTTTGGGCTCCCCTGCGGCGGCCTGGCTGAGCGGTGCAGAAGTCAGCCGAGAGCCATGGCATGAGGTGAAGGACATGATTCAGGCAACAGCGCCCCCCAGAGAGAACAGCCAGCATTTCGGCATTACAGACTCTCAGACACTGGGCTACAATATATATGATACGACTATATAAGCCATGGCATATCCACATCTTGAATACTGTGTGCAGTTCCCACCACCCTATCGTAAAAAAATATATATTATAACTGAAAGACACAGAAAAGGGCAAGAAAAATTACCAGGAGTATGAAACAGGTTCTATATGAGGGGAGATTTAAAGGTCTGGAATGGTTCAGCCCAGAAAAGAGATCACTAAAGGAGGATAATAGCTTATAAAATCATGATTGATGTGGAGAAAGTGAAAAGAGAAGTGTTATTCACCCTCTCACAACACAAAAAGCAAAGTACACAATGAAATTAATAGGCATCAGTTTTAAAACAAAAGGAAGTACTTCTTCACACAGTGCATAGTTAACCTGTGGAATTCATTGCCAAGGGATGATGTGAAGGCCAAAAATATAACTGGGTTAAAAAAGCAGACACAGAAGTTTATGGAGGATTGGTCAATCAATGGCTCAGAGATAGAAGTTTATGGAGGATTGGTCAATCAATGGCTATTAATAAAGGTGGTCAAAGATGCGACTCTATGCTCTAGACCTGGGTGGGAAATCATTTTCACAAGGAGGCCACTTAATGAATTTTTGTACATGGTCACGGGCTGGGATCACCTTCCCCAGAAGGGTTGGGGCCTGAGAAAGACAGGGCGGGGCCTGGGGAAGAAGGGGCGGGGCCTGGAGTGGAAAGGGTGGAACTGGGGACTAGCCTCTTTCCAGAGTTGCGTAGGGCCAAAGACTTTGAATTAAAAAACACAGCAAAGGGCTCGCAGCTCCCAGCCCTGCTGCTCCCGCATTGCTACGCAGCTTCCCGGGGTGGCTGCAGATATTTAAAAGGTTCATGTCTCTGGCCTCTGCTGGGGTGGCATCACAACTGGAAGGCAGGAAGGAGCCATTTCGATAGGATCCTGCTGCCTTAGCCACTGCCTGGAAATTCGCTGGCACAGGCAGGAGGCTAGAAATAGAAAGTGGAGAGATGTAGGTCACAGGCCGGCTCAAAGTGTTAGGTGGGCCAAATCTGGCCCCTGGGCCACATCTTCCCTAGCCCTGGAGTAGATACTGGGACTGGACATTAGGAGTGGATGATTTGATAAAAGCCTTGTTCTGTTAGTTCCCTCTGAAGCACTGGTTGGAAAACAGAATACTCCACTGGCCACAGTTCTCCGTTACTGATCAATGGGAGCTGCAGGAGCAGTGTCTGCAGGCAAGGGCAGCACATAGAGACCCCCCTTTGCTGACCTTCCCAGGGCCTGCAGGGACATGCCAGCTACCTCCAGGATCACAACTACCACCCCGGACATAACAGGTGAGGCATTTTAGAACTCACACGGTTGGGAAATAGAATGCAAAGCGTTTTGGACCATTAGTCTCATCAAATAGGGTCATTCTTACATTGTTATGGTCTATTAGTTTCAGTTAGGACATGTGGCACAACCATAATTCAACACAGTCACCCAAAGCTGTAGGCTCTCACTAGCTTTAAGAATGAAACTAATATTTTATCTATTTGTAACAAAAAATAAGTGTATTTATTCATATAAAAAACTAAATATGCATCTGCTTGGTCCCTCTGCCACCAGCTGTCATGTGTCACTTTTCTTGAATCGTAAGCGGTTGGGACCATGGAAAGTGTATTTGTACAGGTTTGTACAGCCCCTATCAAAATGACGCTGTGACGGGGGTCGCTGAGTGTGACTATATTAACATATAATAATGCAACATCATTTACAAAACAGCATTTGAGGAGGATCATTGGTAAACAAAATTACTTGTGAGCTTCCCCAAAAGTAGAGCATGTCCCATCTTCCACTGGGTGGGAGAATCCAAGTCTTTCTATAATCTCTTAGAAAAACATCCAATGCCATTCTGAGGCATAAGCGGCGAGGAATCCTGAGGCACCTTATAGACTAACTGAAGTGTTGGAGCATAAGCTTTCGTGGGCAAAGACCCACTTTGTCAGATGCATGCAGTGGGTCTTTGCCCATGAAAGCTTACCCTCCAACACTTCAGTTAGTCTATAAGGTACCACAGGACTTCTCGCTGCTTTTGCAGATTCAGACTAACACGGCTACCCCTCTGATTCTGAGGCATGTATGTAGTCATGGACAGGCACCACCTCCCTCCCCTTACCCCAGAAGGGGCAGGGCCTAGGATGGAAGGAGCGGGGCTTGTTAGCAATTGTGTAATTGCTAACAGAATATCAGAACAATTATTGTTATTAGGAATAAGCCAGAACAGTGCAACAACCCTGAATTCCACCTCAAGAGCTGGCCCATCCATATGTGAGTGCTACCTTCAAGCTAAACATCCACATGCTGCTGGTTCACCAATTTCCTAGAATGAGACCACCAGAATGAACACCAAGGACTCCTTTTCTTGAACAAAAACCCATGGTGTGCCTTAGTGGGAATGAGAGAACACACCATCAGCTGTGGTACCTTAGGTCAACTCCCCTAAACTGCTCCAAGCTCCACCAAAAATTATATCCTGGCATCACAGAAGTCAACGACAAACCTACCATCAACTCCAATGGAGTGAGGATTTTACTTGGGAGCAAATAGAAATTCTGTGCCAGGATTTAATGAAGGCAGCAGCAATGTCATCTGGCCAGGAGAATGATTAATTAGTGCCTGTGGGCACTGGCGTCTCTCTTCCTCTCTGCATTGGACAATGACAAATAAGGAAAGGGCCTCTCACAATTTGGCTAGAACGTTGGGTAGCTGACCAATGGAGACATCCACATGTGCATGAGTGCCGCTGTTAAGCCATCTGTTTCTGCACTCCAGACATGCTGGGAGAAAAGTACCCAAAGTTCAGGCAAGGAGCCTGTGATTGCACAGAAGTGGGTATTGCCAGTGTAGTGCAATCCCATAAGGATGATGGGTCTGTCGGTGCAAACACATCATGCTCTGCACGCTCCTGGGACTGGCTCATCCAGAAAAGGAACACAGGAAATAGTCAAGTGTGTGGGAGGGCGAGGGAGGGAATGGGAGCATCGAGGTTGCAATCGGGAAACAGCTAAACATGCACGTCATGCGAAAAACGTCTTTTCTTGCACTTTCCTCAGAGCACAGAACAGAGCCACTGAGCCAAGTAGTGGAGAGGGTGAAATACTCCTCCCCGGGCCAGCCTGCCCTCTCGCTTTGGAAGGCTACATCTAGGCTACAAGCCTCTTTCAAAAGAGAGCATCTAGACTACAAGCAGATTTTTCAAAAAAGCGAGCCGGATTTCGAAAAATCGGTCTGCTTTTTCAAAAGAGATGACCCAGGCAATCTGGATGCTCTCTTTCAAAAAAAGCACTGTTTGCATTACATAACACCTTTTTTTGAAAGCACGCTTTTGAAAAAAACGGCATTCTTCCTCGTAAAAGTAGGTTTACCGATTTTGAAACCACTGCCACGTTCTTTCGATTTAATTTCAAAAGAACGCCGCAGCAGTCTAGATGCAGGTGCAGGTTTTTCAGAAAAAGGCTACTTTTTTCGAAAAAGACTCAGTAGTCTAGACACATCCGAAGGGAAATTCTCACCAAATCAAGCACAAATCAGGTTTCTCCCTGGCTCTCCTCAATGCAGCCCAGGTGGAGGAGAAAGTCTCCAAACCTCTGCTCCCCTGAGGAAAGATGCTTTCTAGTCACCTTCCCTCTTTGTGCTGGAAGCAGCTGCAGTCTGGCAGGGCTGTGAAGGGATGAGTGAAGGGCAGGACCATGCTCTGTCCCCTGTGGCCAACAGAGCTACTCCCGTGCCGACAGGATGCGCTAAAACAGCTGTAGAGTGGCTACTGCAGCACACGCCCTGTGGGAATTGCTCCTTGGGATTCTGCGGCATCATAACCCTTCCAATGTGTCTGTGTCTTTGGGTCCCAGATTAGCACACTGGCTGATATACTTTCCAGTCATGCTTGCTCAGAAACAGGCAATCGAAGGGGTGCGGGACCAAAGACCAGCTAGGCCCCTAGGACAGGTGGAGAGGGTGGCTCTGTGTGCTCCCTTGGGTGGAAGGAGCCCCCCTACCTGCATTTCCTGGGACTTTGGAGCGTGTCGCATGGGGCTTGGGAGGTGATTTGAAGGACCCAATGCCTCAGACACACTGAGTAAGTGCACTGACTAGGAAAGAGTTTTAGAGGCAAGGGAAAGCAGGCTGGGAAGAGAGCTCTGGCTTATAGTCCTAGCAGAGACACCGACTGCTCCCCGCATTCACCCCCGTCTCGGAAGACATAACCCAAGCGACCCCGCACACCTCGTAATCTATGTCCAGGTGGTCCGAATCCCCCTTGGTTCGGAAATGCTGCATCTGCCTGTCCACCGTGAAGTTCACTTGCTTGTTGAAGCGCTCAATAAGCACCGCGTGCCAGTGTTGGTCATCTAGGAGGCTGCCCAGGGTGACTGACGTGTGGCTGGTGCTGAAACGCATTTTGGCATCTCCTGCGGGACAGAGGCAGACAGAAGTGAGACCAGGACTCTAGAACTGAAGTATTAAGAGCCCTGCCTCAATAGACGCAGGACCCGGGCTAAGCCTGGCTTGGATTCTTTGGGATCCATCTGTTCTATGCTTATTCCAACGTTTGGATCAGGCACACGGAGGGGGATTGCCCCAGGTAGTTGCATAAAGCAGAAAACAAGGCAGCACTGGAAAAATGATTGTATGGCCGGTGACTCCGCTCTGAAATGAAGTAGAGACCCAAGTGTTTTAAGAACGCCATCTGGAGTACACAAAAAACCTGTAGCCCATTAAAGGAACAGCTGTACTACAACTGGGGGGTTCCACAAACATACAGGCTGTGTCTACACTGGCATGAATTTCCGGAACTGCTTAAAACGGAATAATATTCCGTTTTCAGTTTTTCCGGAAAAGGAGCGTCTACATTGGCAGGCTGCTTTTCTGGAAAAGCCCTTTTTCCGGAAAAGCGTCTGTGGCCAATGTAGACGCGCTTTTCCAGAAAAGAGCCCCGATTGCCATTTTCGCGATCAGGGCTTTTTTCCGGAAAAGACTACTGGGCTGTCTACACTGGCCCTTTTCCGGAACAGTGTTCCGGAATAAGGACTTATGCCCGAGCGGGAGCAGAATAGTTTTTCCGGAATAGTGGCTGATTTTGTACAGTAAAGTGTCATTGCTTTTCCGGAAATTCAAGGGCCAGTGTAGACAGCTCGCAGCTTATTCTGGAAAAGCAGCTGATTTTCCAGAATAAGCGGCCCAATGTAGACACAGCCACAGTCTAATGACGTTTGACATTTCTGCCATCACTTTTTTTTTCTTTTTTAACTGACAAATGGTGCCTAATCCTTACTGGAGAAAACACAAATATGGACACGGATATTTTAGATAGCGTGATACTGGAAACCTGAACAATTCGAGTTATTTATATATGGCCAGATTTTGGTCTTCATGGCACTAAACAAAATAAATAAATCTGGAATGATCTCTTTGATGTCAGCAGAATAAGCCTAGTTGTAGATCCATGCAACCGAGACGAGCATCCTAGTCCAGTCTGAGAATACTCAGGTTCAGATCTCGAAAAGTTAGGTGTGTTTTGGTTTTCTAGCAGGTTTCTGCTGAAAGATTTCTGAGCTTCTGGTCTCTACTGTGTGTTCTTTTCTTTTAATCAGTGGGAGGGGAGGGAAAAGGATTTACATTCCAGAATGATTAGTCAAGCTGTGTATAAAATAAAAACCTTGGCTTCTATGCCTGCCTGCCTGCCCACACACACACACACACACACACACACGGGTAGTCAAAATCCAGATTCACATCCTGTGGCTCATGGAAATTCTATTTTAGGTTCCAGGGTCAACAAACATCACATCTCATGGGAATGCAACAAAATACATATAACTATGCTATTACATTCTTATTCCTGAACCAGCAGATAAAATAAATAAAATACATTAATGAAGATTGCCTATCTCCTAGAACTGGAAGGGACCAAAGGTCATTGAATCCAGTCCTCTGCCTTCACAGCAGGACCAAGTACCATCCCTGACAATTTTTGCCCCAAAATCCCTAAATAGCCTTCTCAAGGATGGAACTCACAACCCTGTGTTTAGCAGACCAATGCTCAAACCACTGAGCTATCCCTCCCCCAGATGAACATGGTGTTGCCAGGGTCTTTAACAATAGTATTTTTTAAATGAAAAGGAAAACGTACACACTTTATTTAAATGATGGGGCTCAGAGAAGGAGATGCCAGGTGCAGGAGACAGGGCAGCAGGTGTGAGGCTCAGGGCAGGGGCTGCAGGAGTCCTGACAGAGGGCTGGGAGATGTGGAGGTTCAGAGCAGAGGGTACAGGATTCAGGGCAGGGGTTTGGGTGTGGGGGAGACTCAGGGGATGAAGGTGGAGGAGTCAGGGAAGAGGTTGGGAGGCTCAGGGAAGAGAGGGAAGGTGCATGAATCAGGACAGAGTGTGGGGTATGTGGAGGGCTCAGGTAAGCCCCAAGACCTCAGCAAGAGGGGGGAGGGGAAGGAAAGCTCCCAACCTGAGCCACATGGGGAGGGGAGGAACCCTGCCCAGCAGAGGAACCTTACCCATGTAAAGTACCATTCAGAACCCCTCCTCCAGCCGGCCACTGTCTCATTGGTGCGGCCGCCCCCCAGTGGTCACTCTGCAGTATAACTGTCCTTCCTAGCAGCCCCATCCCTTTCCACATTATGGAAAACAATCCTATTCCAGGCACTTGCTGTTTCCCTGGCACAACAACTAAACCTTGACATTTAGTAAAGTTAGGATAAGAGGAAGCTGCCTACTAAATGTGGTGGGCCTAGCTCTTACCATTTAGGCATTTGTATTCACAGATGGACAGACATTTCTAAAATATATAGAAGATTAAATTAAAAATTAAGCTTCTTCTGAAAAAAGAGAAGAAACCAAAGGAATAATTTCTCGTGTCTTGCTCACAACAACCCTGTTAATGCATCGCAGAATCATGTTTGCTGTCTTAGCAACAGCATCATGCTGCTGACTCATATTCAACTTGTGTCAAAGCAACAAAGCACCAAAAAACTTCAGGAATGGCTATTCTCACAGCATGCCCAGCCCTAGAAAGCTGGTCCAGTTCAACTTTGCAGCCCAATCACCTCTGAAGAGCTATCAAGATACACCTACATATCGAGCTCCTGCTTTGGACAAGGCACTGCATTTAGCCGTATGGAGTGGAAATCTATCAACCTCATGAAGAAACTTGCACAAGTACAAACAGATATCATCTTTCTCTCCAAATGCAAATGGAAGGCACTACATATCGAGGAGCTGGTCCAAACTCCTGAACCTTCTGGGTATGCCAATTGCTAATACTGAGTACTTTCCATCTTGAGAAAGAATAACACAAATCCTCACAACCTGTGCACATTGAAGGGTCTTTCATGAAGTAACATTGCTGCTAGTTGAATTTGGACAAAATCAGAGACGGGGTCAGATCTTCAGTGGTGCCAGTGTAACCGCCACCAGGTGGATTTGAACCTTGGACCTCTGAAGCTTAGTATAGGAACCTCTACCACTAAAAGACAGCTGGCTCGCATGCTGTAGAGGCCTCTTGTTTTTATCTGTTGCTGTGATCTAAGTGCCACTGCATTGGTCAGTGAATCACACTAGGGCTACGTCTAGACTGGCCACATAAGACGGAATAGGCATGCAAAGCAGGCAAGTCAGAATAGGGAAATCCGCGGGGGATTTAAATATCCCCCGCGGGATTTAAATAAACATGTCCGCCGCTTTTTTTCCGGCTTGGGGAAAAGCCGGAAAAGAGCGTCTAGACTGGCGCGATCCTCCGGAATAAAGCCCTTTTCCGGAGGATCTCTTATCCTGAAAGTAGGAATAAGAGATCCTCCGGAAAAGGACTTTATTCCAGAGGATCGCGCCAGTCTAGACGCTCTTTTCCGGCTTTTCCCCAAGCCGGAAAAAAAGCGGCGGACATGTTTATTTAAATCCCGCGGGGGATATTTAAATCCCCCGCGGATTTCCCTATTCTGACTTGCCTGCTTTGCATGCCTATTCCGTCTTATGTGGCCAGTCTAGACGTAGCCCTAGTGTGATTCACTGACCAATGCAGTGGCACTTAGATCACAGCAACAGATAAAAACAAGAGTACAGCAAAGCATCCTGAAAGTTATTCTAACCTTTATGAGGTTCAGAGTCATGTCAAAGGCTCCTTAATCCAAAATTCCCCACATTGGTCTAGATCCTGCTTCATAGGATCAGGATTAGAGGAGTGTGCCTTGAATAGAGGACAATCTTCCCTGATCTATAAGGATCCTTGGCTATTGCAACTTCTCCTTGGGGTCATGGGCGGCCAAGTTAAGATACAGCTGTGCTGGGGTTTCTCTAATTTACACCAGGAGTTCACAGACCCAGAGACCACAAAGGGGTCTTAAAATTGCCTTAGTCATAGAAAATAACCAGAGCCTGTGCGTATTTTATTGACAGCTAAAAAGGTGGAATGCTGGAATGGAGTTTCTCCCTGCAACTGTCTGGTATTTTCCCACTTTCTTGTGCTACTAATCTGACACAGTTGTTTTGATGAAGATGAATTCTGCTTCCCAGCACATGCAGACATTTGCCCTTAAGTTTCTTTTCCTTTGTCTGAACATGCACCCGTGAAAACACAGAGGTGAAGCATGTCTTGTCCAAAGCAGGAGCTCTGTGACAGGCAAAGAAAACCGGCTTTCAGCCTCTATTTGTTGCAGGAGAGCAGCCAGAGAAACCATGAGCTGAATGCTAAATGCGGCAGGATGGCCACCTGCAGATCTGTGCCAGACCCCTGCTCTGAAATGATTAATTTAAACGGGAATCGTTCTCTAAGCAGAGAGAGGAAATTGTAGTTGAGATTGCAATGGAATCCCCGGAGGTCTGGTGTAGATTAAACAGGCTAGACCAATATTTGCAGCTAGAAAAATAAAGGTAGCGTGGTCCACTAAATGGGGCACTGACCTAGTAGTCATAAGACCCTGGGTTCTATTTTCGGCTGTGCTGCTGACTTGCTGTATAAATTCGAGCAAGACGATTCGCTTCTCTATTTCTCTGCCTATTCCTCATCTGCAAGCTCTTTGGATCCGGTACTGTCTTTTACTATACATATGTATAGCACCTCACGCAACAATCTCAGTTGGGGCTTCCAAATACTGCCGGGCAATCAATAACAAAAGTAAATGGCAAACAACTCTCCGTCCAATTCCCGGTGGATGAATAAAATCCTACCCAGGTTAATGTGCAAGGCGAGTTTCCCTTTCTGTAGCTCCAGCGTGATGTAATCCCCGCGCTGCCCCTCTCCATGGAATAAGACTCCGTCCCCCTGCAGGCTCTTGAACTTCAAGGAAACCACGTCTTTGAAGGTGCTCATCAGTTTCTGATTGAATCTGTACAGGAGGGAACTTCTGCCATCAAAATCTGCAATGTCCGATTCTAAAGGGGAAAAGAAGGAAGAGGAGAACAAAGAGATAGAGCTGTATTGTCGGTGAAGTTTCTCTGGATTTCACTGGGGTACTCAGCACATGCGAAACACTGTAACCATACCACACCCATGGTCCGCCAAGCTTGCTAGCCCCTATCTATCACCTTCTTTCATCGAGGCCAACATCCCCGGGTAATCCCCCACTCCCTTTTCATGATTCACAGTCCCTTTATTACATTAAGATTCTTTCATCAGCCTGTTTTTTCATCACACCAGACATCTCCCTACCACTGTGGTTCTCAACTGGCGGTCCATAGACCACTGGTGGTCCATGGTGACTTTTCAGTGGTCCACAGGAACATTGTCCAAAGTCACACGGCGTGGGCAGGCACCAACAATCTGTTAGTAAGAAATAAGTTTCAAACCAAAATGGTTATCTGCTCTTTTTTATCATGTCTCAAAAAGGAGGTGGTCCACGAACATGTTTTGATTGGCCTGGGAGTCCGCAGACTGAAACGAGGAGAGAACCACTGCCCTACCACCATACCACCATGTCCTACCACATCCATTGTTTGCATCCCAAGGACGTGAAGAAGAGTTAGTCACTGATACAAGTGCACTGTCCTAGTTCTTGCTCCAGTTTTTCCTATGTTGCAAAAGATCCTCCAAAGCAGTATCTAGATCATGGATCAGTCTCCCTCCACTTTTGCATCCAAATAAGCATAGTCTTACCTCAAATAAATATCCCTCCCTCCTAGGGATATCTGCACGTTTACGATGATTTTACCAAGTGTGCTTCTGAATGTGAATTGTCTTGGCTGGCCTGGAGGGATCATTCCAGTGCCAGGTCAGAACACTATTAAAAGGGTATGGTAGCTATGCTTTTCATAGACCATTTTATCGCCCACACTACACTCGTTAACAGGCCACATGGACAGATTAACTGAGCTGTCATGAACACACCCATTTGTCAGCAAATCATCCAGTAGGGACAGCTCGGTTTGGTTCCTTTTGGGGCAGGATTAAGCAGGTGTTTGGCAACTTTAGGCCGAGCTTTTAAACAGTCCAACTTTAAAAACGATAACTAGACTAGAAGAAGAGTTGGAGCACCCTGATCACAAATGTCAGCACGATAGCATTTACACTGGTTTGCTGTAACTCTGATCTCCCACTATATGTTTTCCATTACCGCAACGATCAGAGCACAAACATGCTAGAAAGAATGAAGCAGATCCCGCAGAAACGTGATCTCTATGACCTCTACAGCACCAAAAGAGGCTCTCCAGAGAGTTAAGGACCAAAAGGAAACACTGGAAACCTTGCACCACACAGTAATGGTGTGGTCACCTCCATAACACATCCCCTTGTGTCCTCTCATGGACCCACAGTGTCCACTCGGGTTCTTCCAGTTAACATTTCAAACAAAAATCCTAGTGTTTTTTTTCTTTTGACTGTCAGACATAACACAAGACTAGCATTTTCTAGATTATGTAGGTATTTCTGCTTCCAGAAACAGGAGAAATATGAAAATGGAAAACAAAGTTATCAAGTTTTGTTGACGTTCAGTTTTGGTTTGGGGCTCAAGGGTTGAGTCTGGGTTTTGTTAGCATGGGCATTCCTTTTAAAATCCTAGAACTTGTGCAAACACAATACGTTGAGAAAAGGGTTATTTACTGCCAGGAGTAGCTGCACTTTGAAGAAAAGAGTTAAGGGAAGTCCCTTACCATCTACTGCACAGGAAGCAGAAATGATCTGTCTGCCAGCACACAACTGCATGAAGAGATATGTTAGCTTGTGGTGGCAGCCATGCCAACCAGCCCAGAGACAACAGAGAATCATAAAATACTAGAACTGGAAGGGCCTTGAGAGGCCATCAAGTCCAGTCCTCTGCCCTCATTGCAGGACCAAGCACCATCTAGACCAGTAGTCTCCAAACTTTTTACACCCAAGATCACTTTTTAAATCTCAGAACAGGAGAAGATCTACCGCCCCGCCCCTTCCTTGAAACCCCGCCCCTTCCTTGAAGCCCCATCCTCTCTATTCTCCTGTCCATAACTTGCTATCCCCAGCCTTTATACACTGTGTTAAACAGTTTATTTTTAAATTATGCAATATATAAAATTAAAATCACATGTTTATAGTTATGAAATAAATGGTCTGTTTTTAATTCATGTTATTTAAATGTCAAATGAAGCATTTACAATTATACATTTTGTTCTCTGCTATTTTGTAAATCTAAAATCAAGTATTGATAATTATATATTTTTTTCTTCCAATAACAAAGTCTCAGTGTGACACTTGTGACAGAACAGTATCTGCCAGTGTCTTGAAGTCTGGCTTGTAGTCTGAGATTGCTAGTCGTATACAGTCCATCAGATGGGCATCTGTGATCCTGCGCTCAGT